GCTCTGTTTGGTCACTTGCCCTGTTTCGGAAGTGCTCTCTCATCTTTTTGCATTTTTTTATTTTTTGTGTGCCTTGCACAGCAGCTCCAACTTACCACACCCTTTATCCCACTAGGATGTTTTCATCAGGATTGTTGCTGTTAGTGTTCTAGGTTCAAAATCTATAGAAGGGGAGGAGGGGACACCTGTAATAATGCCCACATTAAAAATTTTAAACTACTAAAAATCTGCAGAGATTTTGAGTGATAGGCCCTAATCCTATAATATCCATAAATTTTGTTAATTTTAGTGATTCTCCAGAATACTACATGTCTGTGCTCTATGTCTCCTCTCTCTTGTGTCTGGAAGGTGAAGACAGACACCCAGGTTGATACCCAGCTCTACAACCTACTTGCCACATGATCCTGTACCTCACTTTTCTCATCTTTAAATCTCTCCTATTTGAAGGGTCCTCTAAAGTTGAGATGGGGCTAAAAGCCGAGACCGGTTTGGCTCAATGGATAGAGCGTTGGCTTGGGGACTGAAGGGTCCCGGGTTCGATTCCGGTCAAGGGCATGTACCTTGGTTGCGGGCATATCCCCAGTAGGGGGTGTGCAAGAGGCAGCTGATCGATGACTCTCTCTCATCGATGTTTCTAACTCTCTATCTCTCTCCCTTCCTCTCTGTACAAAATCAATAAAATATATTAAAATAAATAAATAAATAAAATGGGGCTAAAAGTACACACAAGGGCACAAGAGATAGGTCCCTGAGCTTGCCTTCTCCTGCCTCTTCACTCTTTCCAATGTATTGGTTATTTCAGCTTCAAATCTCTCCTATTTGAAGGGTCCTCTAAAGTTCTCCCAGCCAGTTAACTAGATCCTTCTATTTGTGTTTTTATTTTTTGTTAAACTTGTGGTTTTGATGAGTTCTCTTAATTCCTCAAGAGGCCTGAGTCCTGTGCCACCTCACAGTTGTATGTAGCATATAAATACAGAAGCAAATACCAGGAACATGCTCACATGGCACCCTGGGAGTGGGTGTTTGTCAGGGAACACGGGGGGCTTGCTCAGAACCTACAGCCCCTCCGATGGGGGTCAGGGATGCGTAAGAATGAAAGCCTGTTCAAGAGAGCGGGACTTAGCTAACTAGGCCAAAGTCCCTCTTTCTGAGGCTGGTCTGGGAACAGAGAGGGCCTTGCACAAGCTGCGTGGGTGTCGTTGAGAAACCACTGGACAGGCTTGCCCTTTCTGGCTCTGGTCCTGTGCTCTCGGGTTCTTCACCAGCTGCTCCGGGTGTAAGCTGCCTGGGCTGCCACTCAGGGAGGTGTGACCCTCACCTGGACGCCCTGGGCTCCAAGCCGAGCCCAAGGAGAGGGGCAGGGAGGACGTCTGTGGTTGGGTTACTTACTTGGCTGTTGTCGCTGCTTCCACAATGCCCATGAACACATGTTTCCTCCTTGTGGTCTTTCATAATATCTGGCCAGACACACGAGGGTAAAGCCCGCAGCTCCCTCTGCTCTCTCAGCCAGGGGAAAGCGGTGTTCTCTGTTCCCTGTATAAACCGGAAACTCGCTGCATGTCTCCCTGAAGCTCCCCGCTAGGAACCAGTGCTCATGCAGCCAACACACAGCAGGGTGGAGGCAGAGTGTGGGACTCGGGCCCTCGGCCCTCGGATCACTATGGGTCAGGGGGCTGTTTTCTTGGCTATCAAGCAGGGTTACTTGAACATTGAGACAGACTTTATATTAGTACTTTGAAATGTCTAAAATACTGGATAGATGTTATGTATATGATATTGCGAGGTGGGGCGGGGGGGGGGGAGGGGGGAAGGGGAGCGAGGCAGAGAGATTGATTCTCTGTCAACCCTACCAGCCAAGAGTTGAGATCTTACTAGAGGAGATGAGACATAACTGCATGTTGATACAGCATGGTTGAAGGTGATTATCTGCATGTCTCTGATGGCTTTAAAGTAGGGGTGTCGAACTCAATCAGAGAAGGGGCCAAAATCTAAAATCCAGCCTAAATCGCGGGCCGAATGGTTTACTGAACAGTCATAAACTGTCATTGTGATGGAAACCCAGCGGAGTGCAGTGATGACAGCGCGGTGCGGGCCACATTGCGAGGCCTGGCGGGACGGATTTGGCCCGCGGGCCTTGTGTTTGACACATGTGCTTTAAAGTAAGGTGACCAGACGTCCTGCTTTTGGCGGGACAGTCCCGATTTTTAACAATTTGTTCCGCGTCCTGCGGCGTTTTAAAACAGTCCCGATTTTTGCCGAAACCAGTTTGGCTCAGTGGTAGAGCGTCAGTCTACAGACTAAAGAGTCTCAGGTTCGATTCTGGTCAGGGGCATGTACATTGGTTGCGGGCACATCCCCAGTAGGGGGTGTGCAAGAGGCAGTTGGTCGATGTTTCTCTCTCATCGACTTTTCTAGCTCTCTATCTCTCTCCCTTCCTCTCTGTAAAAAAATCAATAAAATATATTTAAAACAGTCCCGATTTTTGAAAAATCGGGACTGTTTTAAAACGCCGTGGGACAAATTGTTAAAAATCGGGACTGTCCCACCAAAAGCGGGACGTCTGGTCACCTTACTTTAAAGGGCTCTGGGAACTCATTGGGGAAGGAGCTTCATGGTGAAGGTGACCATATGAGGTGGGTTTTGAAAGGTGAGCCATGGAGGTGGATGTGGAGGGTTACTGACTTAACAAGTATTGGAGAGAGGGCCCAAGGTAGAGGGAATACTGTGAGGAAAGGCTCAGCGTTAGGAACGAATGAGGCCTGTGCAAGCCGCAGCAATAATGGGGTTGGATTGGAGCATTCATTTGGATTTATACGCTGTGCAAAGGAGAACTGGTGAAAACAGTTGAGCCAAGAGAATGTCAGGATTAGAACTGAGCTTTAGGACTGAATAATTCAGGGGGAAACTGGAAGCTTTCCTAATGGGAAGGTTACTAGGTAAAATATAAGACACCTGTGCACCTTTTGATATTATTTAGAAAAGTGGGATAAAGGATGTGGGGGTACATTTGGAGATGGATCAGGAGGGTCCAGGAACCAAGCAGTCTAGATAGTTTGGGTGGAAGTTTGGCTTGGGATCTGAGCAGAGCTCTTGCCAGGTTCATAGAGATGGAGACAAAAAATGAAATTGGGACCTGCCTTAGATGGAAGGACACTCAACTGTTCAACACCCATGTATAACAGGAAGATTCCTCTGTGCCTTTGTCATCATGCTCAGGATGTCTTGGTGGGCGGGACCACACGGGAAGCATCTGACAAAGTCCTGCTGAGGGGAGAGCAGTGTGACGTCAGCACCATGGTCCTGTGCTGTCCTGGCTTGTAAAATGTAAGAACTCACATTTAACGGGTTGACAGAGTTGGAAGGGACCTTGAGATACCTTACCTACCCCCAACTCCTATGTAAGCCGTTACTAGCAGGTATTATAGGCATGTTCTGGTGGCACCTGACTCTTCATAATGACCTCCATGGGCTCCTCCTGAGAGGTCCTTTCTAGATGCCCGTGGACATAAAGGCACTGGTGAAGGAGAAGGGATGTCAGGACCTTGCCCATTGTGCCTTCTGCCATCACAAGAATCTACTCTCTGGACAACATCCCCATCACTGCCCTCTCCTGTCACAGCTATAAAGGCCACCCCCTCCCCAGGGAAAGGCGACCCTTCGAGGCTTTTTTTGTGTCCTGGGGGGTAGGGAAATTCAGTTCAGTGTCTTCTTACCATCCCTGTCCCCTCTCTGTAGGGAGGGAGGAGGGAAAGGTGGGCATGCCCCCGCGTTTAACAGAATATACTAGCTACTTCCGGTAGAAGAGTATCATGCTTATTAAGCAACTGCTGGGAACCAGGCGCTGTGCTAAGAAGGCAGACGTTAATGCCATCGCTTTTTTGGAGATCCTCGGCTTTGGGAAGGTTCGGTGACCCGAGGTCACGCAGCTATGAGTGGCAGAGTTAGGTTTCGGTACAGCTAACACCAGAGCCCCGGCGCCTGACACTTCCTCTCATGCTGCACAGGATGTGGAAAAGAGTGTGCCTCCTCTAGGCCTCAGCAGCTGGTCCCTGTGACACACCCAGGCACCCACGTGTGGCTGAAGGGACAGGGAAGTGGGGCTGGGCTAGGCGCTGCCAGGAGAGGCTCAGTGCCAGGTGCTCTGCCTGCGGTCAAGGAGGGGGGACACAGCCTCAGCCCTGCACCCCAAAAGTCCAGGCCAATTTCCCACATGGCCTGTGTGAGTCAGGGGCTCTCGGGGAGCATGCAGTGTCTTCAGGTAGTAGGTAGTGGCAGCATTTGCAGAGTGATGCCGTCCCAGTTTGCAGAGGAGAAGACTGAGCTCTGAGAAGAGCAAGGTAACAGCCAACAGGACCCAGCTCTCCCAATTCCCCATCCAGCACCCATCTCCCTGCCTGGAGGCTTGCCTTCCAAATGTAAACACTTGGGCTGCAGTTTCAGCATGCGCCTGTTTTGTTAAAGAAGATGGAAAACTGCTGATTTGTCATCAGGCAAAGGATTGCCAAATGTTCCATCAAATGTTCCCTTCCTCAGGCTAAAAGGTCTTTGTTTCTTTGTTCCAAGAGGCCTTCCTTCCTAGTCTGCTTGTCTGCTCTGATTCTCCTCCTCCCTGCCCCGACCCGACCCTATAGTCCCCTTCCTTTCTCTCATTCTTCATCCCAAAGGGAACCAACTCTATGCAGGTTTCCTCCGTACATTTTCGGCTCTGGTTCTTTTCCTGCTCGCTTTTTCTTTTTATGGTCGTTTTGCTTCTTCCAAGAGTCTTTCCCCACCGGAGCCCCAGCTACTGTCATGACAGTGTTGCCCCTCCAAAACTCTCCAGTGCTCAGCTTTTCCACACACATGGGCGTTTGGTTCAGCTCTGCCCTTACACCTGCGTGGTGCTCCCCAACTTAGCTCACACCTGAAAACCGGAGGCAGCGGGGAGAGGTGGGCGGGGTGGGCGGGGTCCAGACCCTGGGCTAACGTCCACCTGGGTACCATCTGTTTCTGTTTCTCAGGTACACAGATCAGCTGCTTCTCCCCGAGTTCTTTCTCCTGGCGCCAGGCTGCCTTCGTGGATTCTTACTGTTGGGCTGCCGTTCAGCAGACGGGCTCCTTGCAGGGCGACCCTGGAATCCTCGCCCTGTGCCTACACAAGGTAATGGGGACTTTCTCACATGTCACCCGTTTGCTGTATGTGGGAACCGAGGCCCAGAGAGGCTGTGCCATCCCTTGCCGCCCAGATTCATACAGCCAACCAAAGCTTCACTCTGATTGTACAACCGTAGCACTTTAAAATCCAAAGGAGCCCCCGAGGAGCATGGTCCAGCCCCTTCATTTAGCAGATGGGGAAACGGAGGCACTTTTTGCATTGTAGCTCCACCACAGCAGGCACCTCTTGCATGCTCGTCACCTTTCTATCCTTAATGCCCGCCTGAGTGCCTGGCCCGCAGTGGGCTCGGAGGACATTCTGAACGCCTGAATGAGCATTGTTAGGTCGCGGCAGAGGGGACCAAAACAGCCGTGGGACCAACAGAGAGTTCATTTGCTTCTAGCCAGCGTGTGTCTGAGCACCGAGGCGCCCGGGGATGACTCCCTCTGGGCGTGTGGACTTAACAGCACAGCTTTTGGAATAGATTCCTTTGCTTTCTGAGGGACACAGACACTGCAAGGAAGGGGAGACGCTGCATAGGAGACACCTGTGTCCTATAGGGAAGAGGTACAGGCCAGGAGCTCGGTGGTGGAGGTGGGAGGGAGCCCAGGAAGGGAGCAAAGAGGCTGAGCAGAGTGACGAGGCCCCAGTAGGTCTTCCCTGCATTTATGCATTTATGAAAGTAGGGCTTTGTTTCAGCCTGTCATTGTCTTCTCCACTGGTTCTTTGGTCCAGGGTGAACACAGATAGAAAGTGTTTGTGTGTGTGTGTGTGTGTGTGTGTGTGTGTGTGTGTGTGTATGTGTGTGTCTTTTCCTCCACTGAGGGAAGTGAGGTAGGTTAGCTTCGGAAAAGGCAAAGGATGATGTCTGTTTGACTCTCTCCTGCCTTGGCCTGTTGCCAAACACAGTCAGCAATTACTCTTGTGTACAAAGAGTAATTTCAGTCCTTGGCTGTGACCCAGGCCTGCTCCCCTCATGTTTATTCATTGCGTGCCGTTAGCACAGTGATGCCCTACAGTGACTCTCTTCTTTGGAGTTGGGCTTTTCCCCCCTCTTCGACTTTCTAGCCTTAGCGTTGCTTGGGTTCTCATCCATTTTGCATGACTTTACAGCCAGGGCATGAAATAATAAGGCTCTTCAGGACAAAAGGGCACAGTTCCAGAAATGGGACAACTTTTCATGCAAATCTAAATCCGTGCTGTTGTAGTTGTAAATCCATTTGTGATAATGTTCTTAAGGGAATAGAAAGTTGTAATCCGTCACCGGGCCGGGCCAAGTAGGATCCACAGAAGGGGATTGTATAGCATGGGATTGTCCTTATGTCAGATGGGTTAGAGATTGCAAAACCTTTAGAGCAGGAGGAAAGCTAAAGATTTGATCCAACTGCATTTTACACAGGAGGATAAGGGCCCCTGGAAAGGCCAAGCCTAGGAGCCACAGGACGAGTTTCTGGCTGAGACTAAAATTGGGTCTCTGGGCTCCCATTGCTCCTGCAGGGTGGGAGAGGCGATCTTACAGAGCAGCGTGGTAAGCAAGCCTTAGGTTTTGAGTGTGAGTGAGGATTAAGGAGCTCTCTTCTGTCTGTGTAGGTCTAGATCAGGCGTCCTCAAACTTTTTAAAGTGGGGGCCAGATCACGGTCCCTCAGAGAGCTGGAGGGCCGGACTATATGAACTACTAATTCCTACTGTAACACCTCGGCTGCGCTCACTGCCCAAAAAACCTGGCGGGCCGGATCAGACTCCTCTGCGGGCCGCAGTTTGAAGACGCCTGGTCTAGGTAGTTTGGATGGAAGCTTGGCTTGGGATCTGAGCAGAGCTCTTGCCAGGTTCATAGAGATGGAGATGAAAATTGAAATTGGGACCTGCTTTAGTTGGAAGGACACTGTCCAACACTCAAGGCTTGAAAGGCCATTGCTGAAGAGAAGTGATCATCCAAAATGCAACCAGCCCTCAGAGGGCCTAGAGCCCTGGTGTGAGTGATGTCAGTACCAACGGAATGAGTGAGATACGAGATTGTCAGCGTCCTCCCAGCCTAACTGCCAACCAGAAGCAAAAATAAACCAATCTCTCTGGAGGAGGGTGTCCCTTCTCAGATGCTTGCACCAGTTTTCCCACATGTAATGTTCAGCACTCAATTAAAAATAAGCAGGGTGTAAGAAAGTCAAGAGAAAAACCAGAACTAGGAAAAGACCCACAGGAGTTCCAGATAATAGTTGTTATCAGACACACACTTGAAAATAATCATTAATATAATGTTCAAAGAATCAAGATACTATGGAGAATTTCCCAGGGAAAGGGAAGTTCTCAAACTGAAAACAGTAAGGGGCAGGGAGTTGATGCCTGCTAACATTGGCGGAGGGCCTGCCGTATACATTCTGGTATATTTGCTATCAGAGAACCACACATGACGTGGGCCCTTCCTCCAGGAACTCACTGTTTAGTGGGGGGGAAACATGTGAAGAAGATACTGAAGATACTGAGAAGGAATAAACAGAAAGCTGCATGAAAAAAGGAGAGTGTGGTTGAATGCCACTGAGAGAACAGTGCACTAAAGGTGGAACAGAACTTACTGGATTTGATGAAATCATTAGTCATCACAACAGGAGTGATTTTAGTGGAGAAGTGGGTGCTGGATGGCAGTGGGTGAGTGGGAGATGAGGAAAGATGACAGTAATAGACAGTTTCTTCAGATGTGTTTTCACTTTTAGAAAAATCTCTATCCTAGAAAGGAAAGCCACAAACTTGATGGTAAATGGAGGGTTTGGGGTCTAGGAAGTTTGGTTTGGTTTCAGTGTGAGAGAGTTTTTAACTTACTGAAATGATAGAAATAAGAAGGCATAGGGGGGGAAAAAGGATGGCAGGCACTGCCTGGGGAAGGCACATGGCACCTTCTGGGAGAGGAGAAGGCATTGGTTTATTCTACTGGGGAGCAGTGGGGCCTTGATCAGCTTTGGAGGGTCAGGCTGGGTTATACAGAATCTTTGAAAACTACATACGTGTATAGACTACAGGGTGGGGGACAATGGGAGCCATTGCAGGTCCTTGAGCAGGGTGAGCATGTTGTTTCCAGGAGTTAATCCTCAGTGAGGGTTTGCTGGAGAGAACAGAGTCAGGGAGAGCGCCATTTGGTAGGCAGAGGGTTTTGATCAGAAAATGGAGAGGAAGGGACGTCATTATTTCTGAGAAGGCAAAGAACAAACACTCAAAGAGCAGCACGTTGTGTTTTATTGCCGGTGCAGTGTTTCCCAAAGTGTGGTACGCGTACCCCCAGGGGTACAGGAAGAGTTTGGTTGGGATACACGTTGCACCAGAGTTTGGTGGGGATATGCACTGCACCATGCTTAGCTGCGCCTAATTCTAGGTTCTCAGGAGTACGAGGGATACTCAGCGTTATGAAAATTATGGAAGGGGTACACATACGTCAAAAGTTTGGGAAACACTGGGTTAGAGGATTACACTAGGGGCTTAAACACAAGGAACAAAAACAGCCTGCAATTATTGGAATCGAGAGTCTAGGCCAGTGGCCGGCAAACTCATTAGTCAACACTGCAAGGATTGTCAACGGTGATCAGATGCTTAGAACAGAGATCAGCAAACTTTGCCCTGAAGGGTTAGAGGGCACATTTTTTCATTGTTGCCAGATGTGGTCACTATTGCCGGTACTCGGTTCTGCCGAGGTGGAGGGCATGTGCACAATTGGTTGTGGCTGGATCTGGCTCTCGGGCAGCGGAGCTGGTCCCCTGGGCTCAGGCGGTTGGTAGCAGCAGGGCTGGTGGGTAGGAGGCAGAGCTGGGGCATCACAGAAGGTGGAGCCAACAAGATGTCCTGATTGGACTGGGAAGAAGAAGAAGGAAAGATTAGGGTCAAGGACCTGACATGACCAAGGTGTTAGGTTCTGGGAAAAGGTGACCATTTGCTACACTGAAGAAGTCTGAGGAAGGAGAAGTTTGAGGAGGAAAACCAAGTAATTCTGCTTGAACACAAGATACTTGATGGCCCAGGTGGCAGTGGGCTATGGTTCTGGAGATCCAAGGGTAGGTGGAGGCATGAATACAGGATGGGGCAAAAGTAGTAGGTTTACACTTGTTTGTATGGAAACTAATACAACACACACACACACACACACACACACACACACACACAATATGCAAATTAGCAGGGCTTCACGACCGCTCAGGAGGAGCTGCGCACACACGCAGATGGGTGGGAGGGGACTGCGTGTTGCCCCCAGTCCAAGAGACACACACACCAGGGGTGGGGTTGTGCTCCGAGCTGGGCCCTGGGGCGCAGCACAGAGCTTGCCCCTGGGTATGCCCCCACCCCAGTGGACGCCCCCACTGAAGCGACACACACACACCCCAGGGGTGGAGACATACTCTGAGTGGCTCGGCATGGCTCAGAGCATGCCCTCAGTGTGTGGCAGCAGCGGCCGGAGCAAAGCAGCCCTGGTCCCACATGCGGCTGCAGCAAAGCAGCCTGGGTCCCAGGTGCCTGGCAGCAGCTGGAGCAAAGCAGCCCAGGTCCTGGGTGCTGGAGGGAAACCGGTGCCGGCAGCCAAGGAAAGGAAGGCCTATTCTTGCACGAATATCTGTGCATTGGGCCTCTCGTTAAAAAATAATAATACAAGAATAAGCTGTTTTGTGTGCTCATAATTGTGGACCTACCTTTGTCCTACCCTGTATAGCAGTTGACAGAGGATAGATGGGATTTAAAGCTGTGGGAGTGGGTGGGGTTGGCTAGGGAGTGAAGTCTGAGGGGTGCTCCAGCTTTGGAGGTGGTGGAGTAGGAGGCGTTGGCAGGGGAGAGAGACCTGGGGGTCATGGGGAAAATGAGAAGGGTGTGCTGTGTGAATGAAAGACTGATGTCCTTTATCAGTATATCAGGTATCTGTTGTCCCTACTTTCAGTTCTTTTGAGTAGATACCCAGACGTGGGGCTGCTGGCTTCTTTTTCAAGCTCAGAAAACTTTTCCTGTTGGTTTTCTTTAGCCCTGCCCACATTCAGTG